ACCCTCTACATTTTAGCAGTCTCAAAAAAGAAAAAGGAAGATTTTTCTTAATCTAGTTAAAGCTAAATAAGTTCAAGGGGAATTTACATATATATCACTTTATTTTTATACTATTTACATATCTACTACCTAAAACTTTAATATTATGGGTGCATGGAATGAAATATTAAAGTTTATGGGGTGCTATGTGTGGTAAGAATGAAATATAGGAGTAATATATTTAATGTTAAAATTTTATGTGACTGATAGGAATGTAATATTAAAGTTTTAGGTGCTAGATATATAAATAGCATGAAATAAAGTTTATCTATGTAAATCCCCCGTTCAAATATGGATCATGGACTTCTGCGTGTCAGCTTGTATGAGATGTAATAAAATAGATAAAAAAAGGAACTCACATTGCAAATCTATGAGATGTTTCTTATGGAATTTCATGGCGTTAGATCAAGAACCTGATGGAGCGGCCTTTGTTTCTTCTACAACTATATTATCCTTCAACAAACGTGAATTGTCATCAGGTCTTCGCTCGAGTGTTCCAGGATTCATTTTATGCACCTCCTCTGTAGTATATATGTAAATCTTGCATACTATGCTACAAAACTCCCTGTTTATATGAATACAATATTTAGTAAGATGTGCAATGGTGACCAAAACTTTTCTGAGTACTTAACATGAAAGGATCCTATTCAAGTATAAAGAAATGAATTGTTTACATTAAAAAAATGCTTTGAATGCCCCATTAATTCATAGCCTGTTTAAATTTTGAATTAAATTGGGATGAAATCTTTCATTCCAAATTTGATTTATTAATTTAGGAAAGCTTTGAATGCCCCATTAATTACACCCATTATATCCTTCCTTAACCGCCGGCCTCCCTCTCACTTCTCATTAGATCTTAAATTAAATCCCCATTAATTATTTTCCTATTTAGCCTCTTGTTATTTGGAAAGAATTTGAATTCAAATTCAAAATAATTTGAATTCCATAATCTTTCTAATTAAACCAACTCTCATTTAGGAAACCCCTCAAAACTCTCAAACCTTAAATTAATTTCAGATTTAATTACCACATCACATTTAATGATATGGTCCACATACATTGTATGTGGACATTTCTCCCCCTCCTCATATGGTCGGCCCTCTCTCTTCCTTATTTTAATTATTTCCTTCTTTATTAAGGAATCCAATTGGGGGAATATTAATCACCTATTTATTCTTCCCTCCATCTTATTTGAATTTCAAATTCAAATCCTTTAATTAATGGAAATATGAAATTGAATTTCATATATTTTTTTATTTTTTATTACCCCCACCCTCGTTCTACATCAGTTTGGTATCAGAGAATGGTTGCCCGGGGTGCGAACTCAACGGAGTCGAACTCTTTTCCACCCTGGGAGAATGATGCGGACATTCGATCATGAGGTTTTTCAAAGGAGGAGACGACGATCGACAATCAATATCATTTCACCTTATCTTAATTTGTTATTTATAATTTTTTACTTTTTATTATGAATTTTTTGTTTTTTAACCTTACTTAAGAGTGTCGTCCTATGTATGCCCTAGGGGCATATGTGTTTTGTTTTAGTTTCTTATGCTTATATATAGAGGCCATTGCTTGTGTAATATAATGTTGGATGATTAATAAAATTTTGTGTTTGCACTTGTGTTCTTTGGGAAGAACCTTGGGTGAGATTCCTATGGGAGAAATTCATAGCTTCCACCAGCCGCAGAATGTGTTCGGGCTCGTGGTCTGAAGTCCCTTGGTGAAGGCCAACGTAGTACCCATCAGCTGCAGGATGTGTCCGAGCTCGCTGTTGTATCTTTCTTTTCCTAAATCATTTTCTCATCCTCCCTTGATTGCCAGCCAAAATCCCCCACTTTCCACTACTAATTCTGTCATAAACCCTTCCACTTCCACAAAACCGGCCCTCCCCTTGGTTTCCCTCCCAACCTCCTTGTCATTAAGCCTTTCCTAAATTAGTTTTCATATTTTAGGTAACTATCTTAATGATCAAATTCAAATTTGAATAGTTGCCTAATTTATAAATCCTATTTTAGGAAAGTTACTAATTCATAGCCTATTTAAATTTTGAATTAATTGGGATGAAATCTTTCATTCCAAATTTAATTTATTAATGTAGGAAAGCTTTGAATGCCCCATTAATTACACTCATTATATCCTTCCTTAACCGCCGGCCTCCCTCTCACTTCTCATTAGATCTCAAATTAAATCCATATTAGTTATTTTCTTATTGAGCCTCTTGTTATTTGTAAAGAACTTGAATTCAAATTCAAAATAATTTGAATTCCAAAAGCTTTCTAATTAAACCAACTCTCATTTAAGAAACCTCTCAAATCTCTCAAATTTTAAATTAATTTCATATTTAATTACCACATCACATTTAATGCTATGGTTCACATACATTATATGTGGACATTTCTCCCCCTCCCTATATGGCCGGCCCCCTCTCTCCTTTATTTTAATTATTTCCTATTTTATTAAGGAATCCAATTTGGGGAATAATTAATCACCTATTTATCCTTCCCTCCATCTTATTTGAATTTCAAATTCAAATCCCTTAATTAAGGGAAATATGAAATTGAATCTCTTAAGGGAAATATGAAATTTAATTTCATTTTTTTTTTTTCCCCCCCCCCCCTGCGCTTCTTCTCGTTCTACATCAGTTATAGAGTATTTGAATTCTGATTTCACCAAAATTATAATCATATTAGTAATCTCAACTAGACTAACCCAATGCCAAAAGTGGTTTAATCCAAGTCAAAAGGATCATAGATGAAACAAATAAAGCATATTTAAACTTTTTTATATGCTAATTAAAAGATCAAATGCTCTTTGAATTTTACATGCTTCAACATAAGGATAAAGCCTTGCTTTATCTTTGTCTGAGAGTTAATTTGGTGAAGTCTTGAGGCTTTTGGAAAGGGACTTAGCACAACAAACTCACCCCTTTGTGAGAGCCCTTATGTAGTTGCAACTATTGTTAAGTAAGGAACCTTCAAGTTGAAAGATTTTGAAGGGGAGACCCTCTCTCGAATTTGGAACTTTAAAAATCTTTGCAAGTATTACTAGTAACTCTTAGGCTAAAATTTTTGTAATAAAACTCTTTTTTAAAAAAGCAATAAAAAAATCGTCCCAAATAAAACCTTAGCACATAACTAATACATAGCTTTCATTTTCCTATTCGAACAAATTATATCATATCATTTCTATTAGAACAATAAACTCTAGTTTCTTTTTCTTAAAATTTGTTTGTACTTAGACGTTTTTCGTATCTAAGCATTACCATAACCACAATTTTAAAAATAAATAGGAGTATTAAAAAAAAAAAAGATCAACTTTTGTCTCTTATTCAAGAAATATGTGACCCTTGTCACATCTCAATTAAGTTGTGATCAATCCTAGAAGGTTTTGATCAAACATCCTCCATTATAAATTGAAGTCATTGAGTAACACTATATAACAAACAACTTATGATAGAGCAAAAGTTGTTGGATTCCTCTCAATCTCCCTCATCACAGGTTAAAATTCAAGGCAAAGCTCAAAAGAACCTAAGGCAAGCCAAATTCCTAAGGGAACTTATAATCCTCCTCAAATATTTCAATCATAGATACTGAATATAAAGTGTATTCTGTACTACTGAAGCAATCACGATATTATTGTATAGTTTTATAAAAATGCTCTAATAGATATCAAATAATTCTCTACTTGGTGTTCTATAGTTTGCCAAAACTAAGCTTTAGAATTCTACCACATTACTAAAGATTATGTATATAAATATTCTGAATCTTTAATTAAAATAAAATACTATTTAATCAAAATGAATATATGAATTAATAAAAAATTATTATTTTTTCAAAATCACATGACGAAAAATTTTGAATAAATATTCAAAATGATTAGAACTATCATATCGATAACATATCAAAGTTATACAGATAAAAGTTACCGGAATCAAATAAAATTGCATTTTTATAAAATCAAATTATAAATTTCATTAAAAAAAAAATCTTATAAACACTGAATTGTTGAAAACTAAAGTAAGTAAAATGCAACTTACCATCAGATGAACAAATTTCCCAATTGGGCCAATTACCAAAATGTTTATATGACCTTCAAAACTTAGTTTTTTATTATTATTATTATTACTTTCTCCTCTATTTTTCTCTTATTATCAATTTTTCATTCTCTGTTGCAGAATGGGAAAAATGAAACTCTATAAGTGGAAATGGAATTTTTTATAAGAAAATAATCAAAGGACATATTGGTAATTATTTTAATTGTTTAGTTTTTGCATATAATTCATATAATTTTTTCTATATCTTTAAATATCGATATCCAAAAATTATGTAAATAATTTCATAAGTTAGCTAAACATATCTAGAATGATCTAGTTAAATCTATTTGTAAAATGGACACCTAATGATCATAAAAAATCTACTTGCACCAACATTTGTCAACTTATTAATGAAGTGCAATAATGCTCATAAAATTAAAAAAATATTATCATAATTAGAGCATAATAATATTCATGTTATGAAAAAAATGATCTGTAATTTTAATTTATAATAACTCCTGAAATAATTTTCTTATTATTGCAAATCAAAATATATCTTTTAAAATTTAAAAGGATTATTACAATACCTTTCTCTTCCTCTTCAAGATATTTTTTCTGCATTAAGAGCATTCTTCTCTGCTACAAGTTTCCTGAAGTCTTTTACTCTAGCAACTTTTTGTCTGGGCCATAATCAATTCATCATTGTAGCAGAGAACTCTGTATACAAATATTTAAATTTTATGAACTCTGTATTGCATTCATCTAGTGCAAATTAGTTCATAAGCTAGTAAGTCAAATTAAGGATGACTTAAACTTTAGTTCATTAGCTCATTAAATTTAAGAACTGTGCCTGACAAAATCTTCGAACAAAGGAAACCAACTGGTAATTCTACTGAAATATTCGTTTAAAAAAATGCATCAAAGATCATTTGTAACGGTCGGCCTGGATTGACTGAATAGGAATACAAAGGGCCTTTTTAATAACTTCAAAAGCCAAGTCATTTCTACAAATTCTTTATCAAGTCACCAGTCAGAGCAACAAAGAATTCCCTCAAGCTCTGCACTGCTGCTTCAATTAGATGACTAATCACTTGTAAAACAAGTAAAATAACGCCCTGCTGTAAAAATCTACAGCAGTTAAAAACTAGCTCTCGGTTTACAAACTTCCAAAATCTCAAAAGCCCAACAAAAAAAAATTGTTAGTAATTGCAACGGCGATAAATAGAACTGGATGCACTAACCCAGAAGGAAAAATGGGGTGAATAATCATATGGGTTTAATAACCATTATCACTAAATAATGCGGATTTTGCCAAACCATTCTGGTGAAGATCTTCTTTGGCTTCAGATATGAAGCCATTTTCAAAGAATGCTGAGTGAAGAGCTTTCACACACTGCTTTGCTTCACTATCGTTAACAACCAAGGAGATATTAACCTATATATATAAAACAAAGTGTTTATGCTATCTGAGGATTTCAACGGTCAAGTTTTAAGAAAAATGGCAATAACAGTTCCAGCTTACCTTGGATGCCCCTTGAGAGATCATCTGGACATTGACTCCATTCATGCGAAGAACATTGAACACCTGCATTCGAAGCAATTATGATTTAGGAACAAAGTTAGGAAAAAGCAAGTGAAAAAGATAGAAACTAAGGTTTTGTTTAGGACGGCTTTCTTCCTGCTTCTTAAAGCTGTTTTTTTAGTACTAAAATTAAAAATTTTTTTACTAGAAAGCTGATTGAAGAAGCAGTAAGAAAGCCATCCCAAACGAAGCCTAAGTCTCACACTACGGAGCGAATTAAACCTTTTCAAGTATTAAAGAAGATCTTTGCACATTCCCTATTAGTGATATTATGGATCTGTGCTGAAGAAGATGAACAACAGCGATTTTCTCTAGCTCTTCCACAACGTGATCAAGTTCCTGTTCATATGATCGTCAGCTATGAGTCCAGAACAATGGACAGAGTATGTAAAGAATGGGAATGTTATTGCTTGAAAACATTATTTATAATAGAACCGTTAGTATTCTGGAAAAGCTATTTGTAAAAATGGATAAAAATAGAATCTTGATATGTGACCGTTATTCAGCTTTTTAATGATGACAAACAGCATTATAAGTTGAAAAGGCGATGCATCCGCATCATTAAATTTCACAATTTTAATTAGAGCTCAAAGAAAATAAACAAGCCAACATAAATAAAGCATTGAATATTAAAAAGGTTAAAAAAAACTTGAGTTCATAGGCTTGCCTGTTGAATCAATTCTCTGCTCCACAGTTTTGATGGATCTAACGTCAGAGAAACACTAACTTCGCTAGTGGCCACACTATCTACGGAAATACCAAGGTCTTCAAATATAGAAAAAACCTGTACTTGTTAAGCATGCAAAAGCTTGAGATTGTTATCAGCTAAAACATATGGGGATATGATGGATTAAGGTTTCGTTTGGGACGGCTTTCTTACTGCATTTTAAAGTAGTTTACTTGTACAAAATTTAAAATTTTTATAATACAAAACTGTTTTAAGAAGCATTAAGAAAGTCATCCCAAACGAAACCTAAAATGAAAATTTCTGTTACCTTTGCTAAGAAACCATACTGCCCAAGCATTCGAGTGCTAACTATATCCAACATGGTGATGTTTGATTTCAAGACAATGCTTGTTAGAACAGCCTAAAAGGAAGGAAATTAGTGAATAGACTAAAGCTAATATTCTCTGGAAAATACTTCCAAGTAATGAAAACTTAGGCTTACAGACCTCACTCATATCTCTTTCCTTAGTAATGAGGGTGCCAGGAGCTTTAGGGTTGTATGAATTCTTGACTCTAACTGGAATATCACTTTCTCTGGCAGGTCTCATAGATTGGGGATGGAGAACCTACATTGATGAGCAAAATATTGAATGAATCCTACTTAATGACGAAATAAATCAGATTTATTAATACTATGTTTCATGTTGAATGTGATAAATGAATTCTCCATAACACAAAAAAAAGGAGCCACCATAATTTTAAGCAGCACACTTTTCCATTTACGGGGCTATATAAATAGAGCGCGCAAAGGGGACATAAAGATGATGAAAACCTTATGTGAATTAAACATCTTTGTATATGTTTATTTGGTGCCTCTCAACGCGTTTGCATATTCGATATCAAAACTTCACAGAAGCCTATTAGCTGGTGCAAAAATTTATTATACCTGTGCACCAAAGTATGCAAGCTCAGCTGCCTCTTCAAAGGTCAAAAATGGAACAGGTCTTGCATTTGAGTATATATTTGGATCACACGTAAGAACACCATCTACATCCTTCCAAACCTGCATGCGGTAGAAACCATATCATATCTCCAATTAGACAGCAAGGAGAGAGTTTGTAAAGCATTCACAATTTTCAAAATAGACTGCATTTCATATTACTGTTACAAATATTAATAGCTAGAGTAGCTATTTGCACAAGAACAATTAAAAGTTCACTTGAATAGCAAAGCTATTTCAAGGATATTATTAAGTGCATAATAATTCAAACAAAAAAGGGGCCTAATTCAAAATTTACCTGAATCTCTCGTAAGCCAAGGGCTTTACCAATTGTTGTGGCAGTCAGATCACTGCCACCCCTTCCTAGGGTGGTAACAGCACAGGATTTCCAACCCTGCAATTGCAAAGTTCTAATGATAATGCAAGTGGCAAACATAAAATGGTAGCTATGCCAACTGAAAATTAAAGAGAAGGAAACAAAACCTTTCCGAGAAATCCAGTAACAATAGGAATTGCAGGATCACTAATCCAATCACCATGAAGCCTCTTTGCTATAGCAGGAAAAGTTGCTTCTAAGATGTCAGCATTTGTAAAGTCGTCTGTGGTTATGAAACCAATATCAAAAGCATCATACTGCAAAACAAAATCAGTTTTTGCATTGTCCTATAAGACATATTTACCATGATTAGTAGATAAGAAACTAAATAAATCAGAGTGAATATGGACAAAAAAGGACCCAAGAGTTATTATATTTTATCAAAGGTAATAGGCGCCCTCAAAGCAATGTGGCTTCCCAATGCCTGAGAAGTACCAGCCAAGATGCTCACCGAAGAAAAGTAACACACTTAGAAAAATTGGCCATTTCATTTAACAGAACAAATATTTCTCCATAATTAACAAAACAAATATTTATCCATAATTAACAAAGAAAGAAGTAGGCACATTTGATTAGTTAATAAAGCCTATGGTGGCTGGTTTACCTTCACCTTAATTTTTAAGGCATCGCCTCCTAAAGGGCACCACCCACTAAAAAGCGTTTGATTTATCCCAAACAGCTGGTTTTCCAACCTGCTGTACATGATAAACCAAGTGGTGCAGAAAAGGTATTAGTTTTGTGGTTCTCAGAGAAGCCGCGACATTATCATAAAGCTACTAAGGCTCTACATGGTTGGGCTTTTACCAGCATTGTGGCAAAAAAGATAGGTGCCCTAGTTTGGAGAAAATTTGCCAAACTGCTTTTCAAGCACTTCACTTTTAAAAAGCTGATTTAGGCTTCATTTGGAATGGCTTTCTTATTGCTTCTTAAAACAACTTTCTAGTGCAAAAAATTTAATTTCTATATTAAAAAGCCGCTTTAAGAAGCAGGGAAAAAGCCGTCCCAAACGAAGCCTTAAAATGAAGTCCTAAAACTAAATAAAGCAGATTTCCGGAAACAGCTTTGTAATATTGTTTCATAAAAAGTAGACATCCAACCAAACGAACCATAAAAGGAATGGGAAGCAACAGTGCATACTTCAATCTATCTAAGAGAAACAGATAATATAAACTATACCAAGCATCTTTCAGCAATCATTGCTTGCCATGTCTAATAGAATCATTGCACGCACATAAAGTTGAGGAATAATAGGTTTTGACCAGCCAGAAATGAACGTTAAATTCCAAGGCTAACATAAATAAGATCCTACTCAAAATATCTGTATGCAAACAGCATAAAATGACGTTCAAATAATATGGATATTCATGCAGAACATAATAACGCAAACGAAGCTTATATGTTAATGCATCAAAGCAACATAATTATTATTATTTTTCATGAGAACCAGCAAACAGATATCTATTTTAATTGAGAAAATGGAAAGATTCTATCAATAACAAGCTTACCTGCCTTGCTTTAACCCCAATTTGGGTCAGATATTCTGCAAAGATTCTTGTCGACATGCATTCACCAAATGAAACAAGATAGTCTCTTGTTCGAGGTGTCAACTCTTTCATCATGGCAATCCCTTTCAGCAGTTGCTCCAGTTCATCCAGCAAAACTATAAAGTATGAGAAAAAGGTTCAGTACTAGTTATGTAATTGGAAATGGCAGCAGGCAAATGTGCCCTCGTCAAGGGGATCAGAATGTGGTTAAAGAAAAAGAACATAAAACATATAATGAAGAGCTAAAAAAAGTAGAAAACAGTCAATTATTGATGCATATTTATCACGTAAGTGTATTCCCTGATTAAAAGAAAAACTAGAAAGGCAAGGAACAGCCTTATGAATCCATATATCTTCAAATAAGTGAACTCAAATGCAAAGTACTTCTGATGTAAAACTGTCTGTTAACCTGTAATGTCAAGATTCTACTGCCATCCTAATATAAAAGATGAAGACTAAATTTGGATTTTTTGCAGCAAGCCATCAAAATACTGTTCCAGTTCCACCTTATTTGAGGATCAGTGACCTCATTTTCCAGTCCTATTATGACTCGTTCTTTGCATTTATGATAAGTACTTCTAAGTAAGAAGAAGATAAGGGTTTTGATGCAGATGACAAGTAAAAAAGGGGAATAGTATATTAAGAGAGAGAGAAAGAGATCAGAGATAGTATAAACAGAAGAAAAATTAAGAAGAAGTGAAGAAGATATCTGACAGCTAGGGTCAAAAGAAACTTAGGATTTCAATTAATGAATAGCAATCATAAAATCCCTATTTCATGATCTCCTTGTATACAGATGATTTAATACAGCAAGTCCATTACTAATTAGAAATCATAAATAAAGTTTGAAAATTAAATCAGACTTAAATAATGTTATTTCTGGGATCGAGATGCAGTATTCTTCCGAAAAAAGTAACTGTTCTTCATTTAACAAGGAACAAAGATGATATGTAATTCAGAATGGTATTTATGCGGAAGAAATATTATAGCATCATCCAGTGGTGGTAAATCAAAAGCCTTTGCTAGTTTAGTCTAGAGTCCCATCACTTAGAAGCCCCACGAACAGGTCCAATCCCTTCATCAGTAATGCCAAGAGAAGCACTTAAACAACATTAACAACAACAACATCAAGCCTTTGTCCCACTACATGGGGCCGGCTACATGAATCCTTTTTCACCATCGTGTCCTGTTAAAAGACAATTTCACATTTAAATCTAATAAAGAAAGATCATTTCTAATATTTTATAACCAAGACTTTTTAGTTCTACCTCTATCTTTCTTAACATAAGTCAAATCTAATACCTCAACTTTTCTAACCAGGTCATCGGAAAGCCTCCATTTAATGTGACCAAACCATCTAAGGCGACTCTCTCTAATCTTATCCTCCACTAGAGCTACTCCAACCTTTTCACATATATGTTTATTTCGTATCCTATCTCTAAGGGTAAAGCCACTCATCCACCTAAGCAAGAGCAACACTTAAAGCTCCAGAAAAAAGAAAAAAAAAAAAAAAAAAAAAAAAAGAGGAAGAAGCACAAAAGTAGAGCTTGAGTATTATCCTCATGAGCCTAGAGCGCAAATATGGTGTTTTGATGTTCACAAACATAATTTAGTTGACCTATTCTTTTTTTAGTACAAGTGTCCTAGTACTAACAACGTAAGTACTGAAAGAGAATTCAAAATATCAGGTATATTTCAGAAAACACATGCAAGATCGAGGATTGTCCTTAAGTCAAAATTAACAATGCATGCCAATAGCCAGAGTAGGAGCAAGCTACCAGAAAATCAAGTTGAAAAAGCTACATGAGTTATAAATTATATTTTTCTTTCTATTGAGTCCTTTTTATTGTATTCAAATGAAGATATTAGAAGACAATGCAATACACATGCACATAATAGTTAAAACTGAAAGAAAAAAATTAACAAAAAAGTAAGGTTGTGAAAACCGGACCAGACAACGAATCGGACGAAGGAGAGGTTCATGGTTCGACCGGTTCAACCAGTCGAACCGGATGACGTAATAAATAATAATATTATTATAAAAAATAATAAAATTAACATAATAATGAAATATAATAACCATATACTTTAATATAAATTATTGTTAATTTATATTACATATTTAGATATAAACTATAAATATAAATTATATAAAAAAACTCACAATAAAAATTAATTGTTTATAATATATAATTAAATATAAATTTTAAATAGAAAAAAATCAAAAATTATTAACTAAAAAAGTTTAAAAAAATTTGGACCGGCCGGTTTTAGAAAACCGGGACCGGTTCCCGGTTGAACCGGCGGTTCAAACTGGTTCTGGCCGGTTTGATGCACACCTGGTTTTTAAGGGTGAACCAGACTGGCCTTCAGACCGGTTCACGGTTGAACCGGTCGGACCAGCCGGTCCGGTTTTCAAAACGTGGCAAAAAAGTATATTAATACAAATTGATCAGAAATAATAATATTGTACAATATGAATTGTATCGTACAAGCTTCCTTCATTTTATTATTTCGGATAAATCCAATTTGTATTAATTTTGGGATATTAAAAATTGAACAAATCATACTATACAGTAATTCGTATCATATGACTATAGTTATTTTAAATAATTAAATGATCAAATCAATTACCATAATTAGATTAATTTATTTTTTAAACTGATTGTAATGGATGATGTAGATCACACATTATGAAAGGTTTCCTAAATTAATCAATTTACGAAGTTGGAATTACGAGCTAAGGAGATACGACTCAAGTAGACTAATTATGTTATAACTCAACTCTGTTTCATGGAATTATGGTTTTGACCTGGTAGCACTTCATATATACCTATTTTTTCAACCCTAAATCATGTGTGATAGTGAAAATACAGTGGAAATCAATGAGAGAGAAAAAAATAAAAAAATAAAAAAATAAAAAAACAGTGGAAATCAATGAGAGATGTGCGAGAGAAAAACATTTTTGAAGAAATCTTTCCCCCTTAGATTTGAAAAACACTTTGTGAATTTTTCCTTTAGCTTGTGCACTTGTTCTATCTTCTTCTTTCCCCTGCATCATATATCCACCGGACAAGTTGTTTTGGCTGTTGCTAGAACTTTGGATATATGCTTGTAAGGGATTCGTAAAATCTCAAAGACGCATGTATTGAGTTTTTTTAGTTAGTTGGTGGTCTAGCGTGATGTAGCTATAAAACTTTTATAGTGAATACAACTTAATTTATGTCCGCTTAAGATGGTGGTGGAAGGATAATGTAGGTGGTGGTGAAAAAGATATTAAATATTTGGACATATTTACTATTGAAACTTTTAGGAAATCTATTATAACAACAACAACAATAACAACAAGCCTTCATCCCACTATGTGGGGTCCGCTACAAGAATCTTTTTCCTCCATTGTGTTCTATTAAGAGTCAAATTTTCATTTAAATCTAATAAAAAAATGTCATTTCTAATATCTTCTAACCATGCCTTTTTAAGCTTTCCTCTACCTTTCTTAACATAGGTCGGATCTAATATATCTACTCTCCTAACTGGGTCATCGGAAGGCTGACATTTTAAGTGACCAAACATCTTAAGATGACTATCTCTAATCTTATGTGCCAATGAAGCTACTCCAACCTTTTCACGTATATACACATATCACATTCTATCTCTAAGTGCAAAAGCCGCTCATTCACCTGAGCATCCTCATCTTTGTCGCACTTATTTTTATGCTTCTTTTTAATGACAACTATTTGAGCCATAAAGCACTGAAAATTGTCCTTAAGTTTGAGCAGCAATTTCTATCACAGAGCAGGCCCGATTCATTATGTCGCTTCTAGGCTATCAAATGTCATGTTTCTATTTTGATGAAAAAGGTGAGAAATTCCATATCAACAATTTGGGATGTCAAGGAATTAATGTTGGTATTTTTTTATAAATTTAAGATCAGTGGTTAATGAGCTATGATATTTTGAATATGAGTGCTCAAGTAAAAAATTACCTCTCTATATTGTGTTTTGGGAAGTGTATCTTAGAGTTATTGGGGAGTTGAGGTTTTGGGAGGTCATGAGTGATCTAAGAGATTGTTTGGAAAAATTGAAGAGGTTGGATGTACTTTTCAAGTTTAGGGAAGCTAGGATTTAGGTTATAAAAAAGAGATGAGAATTGTGTTAGAAAAGAGAAAGGGTGAAAAAAGATACATAAGAATTCACCAAAACTTTAGACAATCAATCACTAAGCTTCACCGATTAGAGTAGCCATCAAGCCTTTCCAATAAAATTTATACGAACAAAACATAATTTTTATTCAAGGAATCCAAAAGTACAAGACAATACATTTATAAGCCTTTTCATTTGCTAAGACAACTTTAAAAAGCCTTAGGAGTTAATAAAATACAATTAATTGATTGATGATATATCCTAGAAAAACATTAAGAGAAATAAAATTCAGTTTTCAAAATTCAAAAATATGAAATTCAAATTGGCTAAACAAGGCAAGCAAAGTGATATTGAAATCAAGTAATTTTTGAAGATTTGTACTTCTTTGACGAGTATGGCCAACCTACCTGTTCTAAGACCTTAAAATAAACGTTTGAATTACTATTTAATATTTTTTGAGAGATTATATGGCGTTCATATGTTTGCATGGAGAGTTGTGCATGATGAATGATCTAAATCTAAATACAGTATCTTTTGAAACCTTCTAATCAGCCTTTGTCTTGATGTTGCATCAATAACACCCAACCTCAAAGAACTTCGTTAAGTAGAGTTAAAGTTTAAATAATTATTAAAAAAACCTAGAGGCAAGCTTATCCAAGTCTTCTTTAGTCATCCAAGGATCATCAAAAGAATATTAATTTTTTTTTCATTTGATCAAGAATCTAGGTGATGTACTTAATAGTGAGAAGAATTCTTATGAAATAATGTTATTAATTTTCAAAAAATGTGGGGTATGAGGAACATGTAAATTTTCACTTGTTCCTCTGATAACAAAATTTTTTTACAAATTTTGATCCTTAAAAATTCCTCAATAAGGCAGTATATTATCATTATTAAAAATAACACTAATATACATGTCAAAAGGCAATTCAACGATGAGATAAGCATTTAAGCCAAATTCCTTAAAAATTTTG